ATTATATAGCTTATAATAATCTAATTATACTACTTAGAATAATACTCTAATTAGTTTAATTCTAATTTATCCTAGACTAGGTCTAGTATAAGTTACCTAACTATTATACTAAGGGTTTTAAATATTAATATTTTTATTAATCTACTATTATAATTTATTTAGATTAATCTCTTCTATCTTAATCTTAATATCTTTCTATTATTAATAGTATTTAATAAAATTCTAGAGACTATAGTAGCTATATATAATTAGAATTTAACCCTTAATAGGGTATTTAGATAGAATTAATCTAAAAATCTAGAACTTCTTCTTTATATCTTTAAAGATCTATTTAATAATTATCTATAGTATTATATATTAGTAATTATAAAGTTTCTTTTTATTCTATAGCTTAGTATTTCTATATATAAATTTAATAATATAATATTTAACTTTATAATAGGGAATAAATAATTTAAAACTTATTCTAAACTTAGAATTATCTATATAAAATTAGTAATTTAGAATTTAAAATAACTTTAAAAGGATATATTAATAAAGTAAGGTATTATTAATAGAGTTCTCTATACTAGCTAATATATAGATAAATATTCCCTTTTAATTAATAGTATATAAAATATTCTAATTAACTTATAACTTCCTATTCTACTACTTCTTTTACTTTATAATTAGAATATATATCTAGATATAGATTTTATTAATTATACTAATATAATTATAATANAATTATTATCTAATTACTTTATAAACTTAAGGAATAATAGCTTTAATACCTTAAGCTCTTTCTTTATAATACTAGATATAATTAACTAGACTATTCTAAACCTTTAAGTAGTAATTTATTAAGTATAGCTCTATCTAAAGATATAGAGAAGGATTAGAACCTTCTATTTAATTATTTAATAATATATTTCTATAAGATTTATATTCTTCTTAATCTATAAGATAAGTATATAAAAATAATATAGCTTTATTCTATATTTATATTTAAAATAGTTAGTATAATCTCTTATCTCTATCTCTATATTTTTAAAAGTAGTAAATAAATCTTCTAAATTAATAATTTACTAATTAAAATAATATTAATATAACTACTTTAATTAATAGATTTATATTATATAGTATACTACTAATTCTACTATTATCTTTATTAACTAAGAATTATAAATCTAAATTTATATAATCTCTTTAACCTTATAAGAAGATATAATAAGTAGTATTATATAGTCTATTTATAATAATTATTATTCCTAATAATAGTAATAATTTATTAAGTTATAGATAATATAATATTTATAAGAAGGGGTAGATTTTTATATTTAAAAAGTAATAAATTTTATATATTTTTATTATAAGATTCCTATCTAAGCCTCTTAAAGAGATTAAGAGGAAAATAGTATATCTATTAAATTTATATAACTTCCTTATTAATAGGGGATTCTAGATATTATTAATAATATAATAAATTTAGTACCTTAAGAGGAATAGCTAAATATTTAGGGCCTTAGTACTAATATAAGACCTATAAAATTATATTTATTTACTCGAATTTATATAAAAAGTACGCGAGCCGATCAGAGCTATACTGACAGTTTCAGTCTCCATGCTGAGAAATCACAGCGTTCTCCGCAAGTGGGGGTTTGAAGAGACAGAATCGACGAGCAAGTAAAGGAAGTACCTACTGTGGGCTACCGAACTTGGAAAAGTATGCGGTTTCTAGATTCATACCGAGAACCATAGACTGTCTTTCGTCTACAGTCACCTATGCTGTTACATGGAGATTGGTTCAAGACGGGATCCAAAGACACTCGGCATCCGATAGCACCCCGACTCTCCAGACTCCAACCGGATCGTATTTATAAGCTCGTTTAACCTCCCTCTGATTACTAAATCCGACAGCACCACTTCCAAGCCAGACCGAATCATCTGCCAGCCTCCCCCTCCACCTCCCAACAACTCCGACGCTAGCGATGCAGCAGAATGTCTTGACGGAGTGGGATGATTTCCTGGTCTCCCCTTTGCTAGGCCCCGGGCTTGGTTTAAGCCTGTCACGCAGTCCTGGAGATCAACTTAAAGGCACTATGCCCCGATGCCTCCAATAACATTTCAACAACAATTATCCTACTCCTCCCGTTTGCCCCGGTTTCGTAATCTTGATCAAGTCGAAATGCCTGTCGTTGCTGTCGCGGGAGGTACTGGCAATGTCGGCCGCGCCATTGTTGAAGCTATTGTAGCTACAGGGAAATATGAGGTCGTGATTCTTAGTCGGAAGGTACAAACCAACGAAAGTGCCGAATCCTACCCGTGAATGAAGTTAACGAACTCATAGTCAAATCCGGAACGGTCTGCCGAACTGGGTGTGCCTATTATTCCAGTCGACTATACTGATGTTGACGCTTTGGCGAGAACTCTAGAGGACCGCAACATCCATACGGTCGTATCAGCTTTGGTGATGATGCCTTCTCCCAATGGAGATCTTCCAAGAGAAGTCGAGTTGATCCAAGCAGCCGACAAGTCGAGAGCCACTAAACGATTCATCTCTAGCGACTGGGGACTTCCTCATACCGCCGAGTAAGTTGGGAATGAAAACGACCTGGTGACATCCGAGGACTGCTAACATGGTTTCTAGACATATCACGCAGCTCGTATCCGTAAAGTTCAAACTCGATGCCGAAAAAGCTCTTGAAAATACGAAGGACCTTGAGACCACCAGGTTTCTAAACGGATTCTTCCTAGACTATTTCGGTCTTCCTAAATTTCCGTCCCATATGCCGCCCACGACCATGGTCTTGGACGTCGCGAACAATGCGGCGGCCATACCGGGCTCAGGGGACGTACCGGCAGTCTTCACTCACACGTCTGACGTAGCAAAATTTGTCGCTGCAAGTCTGGATCTAGACAACTGGGACCCTGTTCACTACGTCATCGGCGACAGAGTCACATGGAACGAGTTCCTGCACCTCGCAGAAGAGGCAAAAGGTTAGGAGAAGCTTGAAACCTTTACATATACAAGGAGGATTACTAAAACGCGATAACAGGTACGAAGTTTAAAGTGGTATACGACCCAATCGAAAAGCTCCAGAGCGGAAAGGTGACCGAATTGCCGGGCCACATCGCGGCTTATCCCTATTTTCCAAAAGAGATTTTGCAGAAGTTTGCCGCTACTTTCGCCCTGTGGTGGGCGACTGGAGCTTTTGACTTCAAGCCCAAGTCTACTCTCAATGACCGCCTTCCGAGCCTCGGCACGCTCAAAGTGAAGGAGTTGCTAGACAGAGCTTGGAAGTAAAGAAGCAAGGTGGAATGGCAGCCATATATCCGCCATAGCTTTTGATTGCACAAGAAACAGTGTTGTTCAGCGCCAAACCTTTCCTGTTTCTTACGAACAATATCTCAGTAGTCTGAAACTCGAATTCTACCACCCACCCCATAGGTTGTAGCTTGAAGACCCTATAAGGCATAGTACTCCGTGCCTGGATCCGGTTGGAGAGTGAAGAAAATGCCAGAGAATATGTGTCGCAACTCGAACGCCGTGATGTTTGGACACATCAGGGCTACACACACTTAGAAGCGCAATGACCTACCGCATTTCACGTTACGCGGTTCGAGGAGAGCAACTGCCCTTACAAACATAAATGGCACCGGCAATATTCCTTCTCTGTACATCTCGTAGCTTCTACACTGTAATATCTTCTGATCTTGGCTCCGTTGAGAGGCCGCCCGCCAAGTATTCAGCTCATGACTGCTAGAGCGGAGTTGATGCGCGGAGTTTCGAGTGGCCGCTTCCATGCCTGATTTTTCGCGTAGCAGCCCGCGGAGAAGTCTTCCTCTTCGGGCAAAACCGAAAGTACCTTGGAAATGTCACCACCCTCGTCGAGCCGCGCGGTTATCACCGCAATTATGCTGGCTAGCTCGATCACCACCTCTCGGTCGTGCTAGGCTCCACTGGCAACCGATGCGAGGGCGAGAACACGTACGCATACATGATTATTTCTGTCCAGTATATATCGATACATCAGGTCACTGTTCTCGGTGTCTTATCTCTGCTTTTCTTTGGTCGAATACCTATTTATACAGCAGGAAACTTCATTTCTGGCTTTAGGCTCCTCCAATAAGTATCAACTGGCTTCCTCACAGTCGAAGAGACAGTCAATTATGAATGTTTCATAGTAAGGATGATGTTCGCACGATCGTTCTACGCCAAATATACCCTGGTTGCCCTACGCCAACATGGAACGATTTCCATAGACAGAAACATGTGTTTTCATTCCAAGAGATACAGGCAACTTCCAAGGCTTTCTTTGTCTTAATGTTGCCAGCAATATCTCGCTTACTAAAGAAGAGTCCAGATTGTAGCTTGCAAGTTAGGGGACCCAATCCTTCGTTTACTTCTTTGTTTCTCACACTCTTTCTCTTTTTGCTTTAATCTAAAGGATTATATAAGAAAACACATAATAAAGGCCTAGCTAGTATAGTAACTAAGGCCCACGAAAACTATAACCTTAAATTATCAGTATGTAAAACCATGCTAGTCTTAGAGCATAACATATGTAACAATGAAAGAGTTGTTGAGCAGTGCGGATTCATCCTCGCTGCTTCTTAGAATTGAACACAAAGACCAAACTCAAAATCAACCCCAGCCCCGCCAAACCGACTGAAAACCAGATGGCGCCACGATACCCATGAAGCCTGTCGGCCTCTGTATGCCCTCCATTATTGATGTATCGCTCAATGGTACCAGCAAAGCCCAAGCTAATTGAGATGCTGTAGTTGACAACAGTCAAGACAACGCTAGCACCCATTCCCTGGTGATGCCGGGGCACCGCATCCGAGAAGATGATTGTTGCTGCAGGAAACGAGGTATCCATGCCGACAGTAATAATCAAGACACTAAAGAAGAAATACGTCCAATAGGTTGAGTGCGGAGGCCGAATACTAGCTAGGATAGAGCCAGCAAGATAAGCGACCTGCCCAATAACCATTATCCACGGGGCGGGAACCTTTCCCAGCAGCTTTCCAACAGCCAGTGCTGAAATTAAGCCAACGGGAATCCCTGGCGCAAACCATGCCGACATTTGTATGGGAGTATTGCCGTCAATATTGAGCGCGACTTGTCCAATATAAAAGATCTGAAAGGGGCTAGTTGATACCTTACCAGTCACATAGGCAAACTCACCCATATGCCAAAGCAAGCCCAGCCTGCGGCTGTGCAAGCAAACACAAAGGCAACGTCAGAGTTGAACGAAGCGAAAGGAATAATAGGGGACTTGGCCCAGTAGACCTCGATAAGAAAGAACACCACTCCAAAGAGGAAACCCAGGATCAGGCAAAGGTAGATATAAACTTCTTGCCAACCCACAACAACTGCTTGGTTCCATGCAAGGTTCACCAAGACTAATGCGGTTACGCCGGTCAAGCCTCCAAGAACATCCAGGTCCTCCAGCCTTTCTCGAAGTTGCTTTCCCTGTTGCCGAGACACGGGAAGAGGAGGAATCGCCCAAGCGGCAAAGACGGCTATTATAGCAAGCGCGATTCCCTGGCTCCAGTAGATCCACGGCCACCAAGCGAGCACAAACAGGCCGCCAAAGAAGAACCCAATGATGGCTCCAAAGGGTGCTGAAGCACCGAACCAGGCAAAGGACATGTTTTTACGTGGTCCGGGGGAATACGACCGGCCGAGTATAGCAAGAGCGTTGGGGAGTGTAAGTGCCGGGCCCACACCCTGCAACACGCGAGCAAAGACAAAAAGCACTTGGGTGCTATAGACGGCGAGACCGGCGATGAGAGACCATAAAGCGTACCAGGCCGTTCCAATCACAAATAGCTTCTTGTTGCCAAACTCATCGCCCAGCCGGCCGCCGATGAGGATGAAAGTGCCGATGGTCAAGCTGTATCCGGCAATCAGCCATGATAGTTGGCCTGGGTTGCTGATGCCGAAGGATTCGCCTATGGGGCCGACGGTGGCAAGAGTGTTTCCGAGACCAATTTGGTTCGTGAACATGGCGGTGCAGAGGGTCCTAATGAAGAGGATTTGGCGTGGAGTCGAGAGGTGATCGACAGGGTAATGGAGCTCATTTTCTTCTTCAGATGGGGAGTTGGACTCGACATCTTAAACCATTGTTAGCCAAGAATACGTCTAATTGGGTTATTTCGAGTTGATTGTACTGCTCTGTGGCGACTTTTGAGCTGGTTCATTGGCCTCTTCATTGACCTCGACCTCAACGGGTACATGCGGGTCGGGAATGGTTGTCATGATAACAATGAGGGAGGTTAGGATTATGATTGATAGTGTCAATGAATCTGATGTCTAGTAGAAAGTCAGACGGGGGCCTTATATGTTTAGGCTCCCTGCTACTACCTAGTAGATATCTGGCTGTAGCCTTCCTCTTTTTACTACCTCTAGTGACATTTGTAAGCCCCCATTGGAAAGCGTTTGAAATCATGATACCGGACCTCTCGAAAGTCCGCTCCGTACCACTAATGGGCAGTGATGGGTGCATAATATGATGGCGCATTTATCGACATCTCTTAACGAGGAAGTTGGGCTTATAATTACCTTAAAAGAACCGCTCATGCCCATATTGCATGTCAGTCCTAGCATGGATTACAAGTTAGGAGTTACATTCTTTGATCAAATATTCGTGAACCACCAGTTTCTACTGCTCAAGAGTTCGTTGCACACAAATCAGTCTCTGTCAAAATTGAATCCACTGAGTTCCGACGCTCCATCTAGTGAAGTTGCGCTGAACACAGGCATGAATGGCCTCCTTGGATCACGTCCTACAAACAATTCACCTTAAGTTAGGCTACTGGAAACGCGATACCTCCCGCTATATGAGACTACGGAAAAAGAAACCTAAGCCTAAGCAGTCAAAAAACTAGATGGCATTGTTCGCGTTGCGGGAAATATGAGTTCAACACTGGTTCAAACACCACCACGACTCCAAGATCGGATCTTCACTCCTAGATCGGTAATGGACAATTTCGACCAAGCGTATGGCTGCCGTATTCCGGATGCTTCATAGAAGGTGGATCTACTGAAGGAAATTTGTCAGAGTGGATGGACGAGTTTCTTGTGCGCAGTAATTTCGCAGAGAGCCGACTTGATTAGGGAACAAAGTACGCAAGGTTCTAGTATACGTAGGTAGATATGCAATCTTACTGCAGTCCATAAAGAATTCGGGATTTGGCACAAAACTGACTTACAATAGCGGCAACGCTAACCTCTGGAGGATTCGAGAGGTCCGTTGGGCATGGCCTTACTCCTTGTTGCAAGCCAGCCGCACGGAAACTATTTCAGAATATCACATCAAGTATAGTTGAATAATTAAATATCATAACACGGAGATATATTTGTTGTCTTATTGATGCATGCGGACGTTTTTGATTAAAAAAATGAATTGATAAAAATGAAACAAGAAGTAAAAGGTTTAGACATTCCCTTGTTCTATTACTAGCATTCTAACCATTCATTACAGGAAACTTACTTCATGACTAACAATAAGTGCTGTTTCTTCTACTTATTCTTTATAGATCATCATTCAAGTGTCCTTTTGTTGATTCGTGTCCACGAATTTCCACCCTGAATTTGCGATAGCATCATGTTTATGCCACTAACATCTGAGCCTCGGGGATGTGATTTCTAAGCAGCAACTGGGCCACACATTAATGCCGTCATTTTAATCCCCAGCATTGCAGCAACGTTCTGTTCTCTACCCCAAACCACAAGTCGCCATTCCAAGTCGCCATGGACAAAGATGTCATGTCGAAACAACAGCCAGGCAATGACGATAGCCAATAGATCGTCATAAAGGCATGTCTTGCCATCCAAAGTAACCCGTTTTCGATTTAACCTCTCTTCTAGGCCTGCGATTCATGTCGAAAGAAGAAAATCCGGTGTGAGCCAATCGCTGAAGGCTGTATACAATGCATCAAGTATCATATCCCGTGTCACTTTACCCCAATTTCGACGAAAAGGTGCCGCCGGAAGCCATCTGGATACAGGCAGATCAGAGAGCTTGAAGAGCGGCTCAAGCATATGGAGATCCAATTATCGAAAGCACTCGAGACAAAAGGAATTGAAGGAGGTGACTCTTCACATAAGGGCGGCATACCATTCGGCGTAATTGACTTGAAGACTTGTGAGAATGTACAAAGCCACCGCGACATTTGGAGTACTGCGGGCACATCAGGCCCTGCCGGTGCTACCTTGATGAATTGCTCTCCATCAGAGAACCCGGAAAGGAGTATTATAGGGACAATCGTACCAACAGATGAACATTTGCTCATCCCTCTCCATTCTGCCCCTTCATTCACACGAGCTGTACCACCTGGGCCCTTCAAGCAGCTGTCGCTTCAACCGATGCCCCCCAAGTCACTTGCCTTAGAGCTAGTCCAAGATACCATGATTTCTTTTAACCGCTTTATACCGCTATTTGACGAGCAAGACTTTCTTCAGCAGTTTGAGGAGCAATATCCCAGCTCAAACCACAGCAATACTGCTTGGTGGGCTTGCATCAATGTCGTTTTATCCCTGTCTCATCGGTTTCGGGCAATGCGAACCTTGGAACCAGCTTGTGAGAATACAGCAGCATATGGTCATCTGCGCAATGCAATGTCGGTAGTTGCAGAGCTCAACATGCTACAAAACAGCTTGCCTGCTATTCAAGCCTTAGTGGGTATGGCGCTCATTTTTGAAGGCACACCGGATCCGCATCCATCTTCCGTACTCATCGCCTCTGCAGTGAGGCTCGCTCAGTCTATGCGCCTACACAGACGGTGTGGGGATCGAGGTCTTACTCCGTTAGAGTCTGAGCAGCGACGGCGTGTGTTTTGGATTGCATATTTCCTTGACAGGGATATCAGCCTTCGGACGAGGCAGCCATTCACGCAAGATGACGACGACATGGATGTTGAATTGCCATCGGAAAATCCCACAAATGAACTAAAGAGTAGTGACGAACTTTGCACTGTCAACTTCTTCTTCAAGTCTCGGATCGGCCTAGCCGTCATTCAGGGACAGATATATCGAGGTCTATACTCTGTGCAGGCCTCACGCCAGTCTGAGGCACATAGAGTGAAAGTAGCGCAAGAGCTGAGTCAAGTCCTGGTGTATTGGAGGAGCACCGTTCCTGTGGGTTTCGAAGATCACTTTGCTATCCCTCTTCAGCCTCCGCTGAGTCCAAAGATGACACATTTGCTCATCATTCGCTTCACCTATGTTCACTGTCTAACCATGATAGATCCATTCTTGCAACCTACGGGGTGCTCATTTACAGAAGCTGCTTCTCAGGATCTAGATGACTCCATGATTACAGACAGCCTCTGTATATCTGAGTGCCGAAAAGCAGTGAGTCTAATTAGCATGACACCTTGTGGAGATTATGCTTGCGTGTGGTAAGTATTTTGGACTATCTGTGCTGTCGTGCATAATGTCTAACAGATGGTATAGGATGCTACTTTGTGCCCTATTCTCGGTCGTTCGTCTCCTTTTCGAGAATATACTCAGGTTTCCCACTTCTCCACACGCAGAGACTGATTATCATGCCCTCCAGCCTTCCCTAAAACTATTCAGCATCTTGGCCAACAAGAATGGCAAGCATGCATGTTCTAGGGAGACCCTGAATATGCATAATGTTTGCCAGGATCTCAATGATCAAGCAAAGCAGTTGGGCTTTCATGTCTAAGCAAAGTACCAAAAGGTTAAATTAGGAAAAAAAATCTTCAAGTAAGAAAGTTACTGTCTTGGCCAAGAACGATAGTGTCATCATTCAAAGAAAGAAACATGGGAATGTACTCATACTACAACCCATGATCTATGACGGTTGTCAGGATTATGAACCGAGAACCAGCTGACGTTGTCGTGGCACATGCCGTTCACTTCACACTACACTTCAGACCAATAGAAATCGGTCTCAGTTGTCACAAAACATAAGTCATTCAGTCGTTGTATTGTTCTATTAATAATCTAATATGTCAAGGAAACCTCGGTTGTCCGAACTATGTTCTTCCCATTGGCATCTGGATGCACAATACTATCGGAGCTATTCTCCCTTCGCGTGCCAGTTCCTCCCGGTCCCGATGAGTCTGAGTCGTTCCTCCCCTCGGCAGTAGCAATGTAAAAAGTGTGGTTGTCGTTGACTGATTTCAGTTCGAACGCTTCGGGGCCTCCGGTGTTGCTGGTTTGTCGAATATATCCATTCGCCTTGTTGGATAGCCCTGTTCTTTTTCCGCTTCTCAAGCGGCGGCTAGCCGAGTTGGTATAGCCATATCCGGGAGTCAAGCTCTTCAGGTTGAGTATGTTTCGAACCAGGGGTTTAAGCGCCGGGGCGCACGCGGCAATGATACCAAGGTTGAGTTGGAGTCTAGATGGAAAAGTTAGACGTTATTGATTTACAGCGCTTAACACGAAAATACTTACAAGCCCCAAAATTGAATCTCATAGGTACTGTGACGAATGTGTTAGTAATTATAGCTGAATCGGTTGGCATTTGCGTGGTCATACAAGGTAGAATCTTTGTTGGATACGAAATTGATCTGTGCAACGGCCTTGAGGATGCCTATGACAACAGCGCTAGAGATTGTCAACATCACAGTTCCTTCCAAACAGAGAGACAGAAGCCTACACATATCCAAGACTGAGAACTCCGATGAGGTACAAGCGAGTCTTCAGTGGCATTTTCAAGGTCCAGATGATGGGTACTGGTAAAGTTGCAAAGGCCACATCGGTAAAGATGTTGAATGCTGGTCAATTAAAGGGTCAGTAAGGCTAGAGAAAGAACGACATGTTCTCGCGAAGTTATTACCTGTGTTAGCCAAACCAAACTTGGCGAATAAGCTCAAAGAGTAGCATGTGCCTTGGACACTGGTATCCCAGTATCTTGGCAGCGGCTTGCAGAACAGAAAGATGGTCAACCAAGCCTCAATCGAGTACAGCGTAACAAACGCTATTAACAGTCAGCCACCTTACGTCGCTTCTTTTGGGTTGAGAAGCTACTGCAGTGCCCTACCTATCATAGCCCAAAGAAGGTATTCATACCAGGCCCAGGCGTTGCTCCGTAGTTTTCTTAGTTCAAGGGCGATGGCGATCTTTAGGAAGGCGATGCCACCAATGAGAGGGACAATCGTCTGGACGAAGGACAACCTCATGAACTTGACACGATCCTCCCTTTCAATCGTATCGTAGTGCTTGCCAAGACCTAGTGGTGCTTGCAGATATAGGGTCACGGTTCCGCCGAGGAGGGAGGTGAGCTATTCGAGGCATCATTCCATTAGTGTACATGTTTTCTTGGCGCAGTGGAAGTGCACTTACCACAGATGCCACCATGAATGCATCTTGAGGACCGTATGACCTCACGATAAAGAAGCGTGTGTAGGACCGGAGGCCGACAAAGATAAAGGCGATGACACTGATAACAGTACTGACGATGAGGATTTGCGGCGCTCGGGTCTCTGCGGCCCGCACAGGATCAACATTACCGGAGGATCCGAGGCTCATGTTGGTTGTTGCGACTGGTCACCTCGATCTTCAACATACGAACTGTCTCGAGCATTCCACTGGCCAACCAAAGGGAACGAAAGCGGGGTTAATGATAAAAATGGTAAAAGAGCGTATTGAAGAGAAGAAAAAGAAAGGAACAAACAGCAATTCACAAACGCCCAGGTGCGGCGCACATGCGGGGAGTCTCACGAGATAAAGCACATAACGAGCAAAAACCAACGAGAGGAGACCCGTTTCAGTTGCGGCCCTCCCACACCGGTCGAGCTCTGACTCGCTTACGACGACATATCCCGTTTAAGAGATTCTTAATAGCGAGGTGAAACTATAGCATCAATGCAGCTGGGAAGGCAAAAAACCCGGTTTCACTTCCGGATCGCCCTACGCGCTATGACTGGGTTGCTGGCTAAACCTCAAATAGAAGGACGCCACGCTGTAAGCATGGAACCCAGGGCTACGGCTGAGGTTCTTATCCCTGTTAAGACCCAGTGGCACCCCTGGATAATCGCTAGAAGCCTGCAGAACGACCCAAGAGTGGGTTGGGTATCCAAGAAGGTGAAAGAGATGTTTGAGGTTTGTCGGAGCACGCACGCTGGGCCACGGCTGGTGCCCTGAAGTTTCTGCTCTGCGATCATGAGCATCTAGAAACCAAGGCAGACGGCGTAGAAAAATCTTTGAAAATGCAAATCGCGCATCCACGCAGCGCAAGTGGGAGCTCGGTGATTTATCCCGCATTGGGGATGGGGTTTGCCGTCTTATTCACAACACTATTGATTGTACTGCAATAGCACGCGGATGCGGATCTTAAGCCTAGAGCTATATCCCTATAACAGGATAAGATGTAAAATGATCTGTCGGACGAGGATTCTGGGGAGGCGAGCTGCGGAGATTAGAACTGGTTCGTGAGCCCGTGATGGAAAGAGATTCGTACGCCTGGCAGGGCTGTAGAGGAAAAATCAGTTCATGTCTACCGCATGTGTCTTTGTCACTACCACATCAGCAGTTAGGGGTGGCTCTTAATCCAACACTGGGTGTTGCGACATGGCCAGCGCAGCCAACCACGAGGCCTGGCTCCCAGAGTATGGCGGCATGCTCGCTTGCATATACTTACCCTTGGAGCCACCTGGTCCCTGCCGAGCCCAGAAGAATCAAGATGGACCCGTGAGACGCTTTGGGCAGGTCAGCAGGCAACCCACGGACGGTGCCACCAGGCTTAAGCCCGTGGCATCGCCATGCCACGATGGCCCCTTGAGTATTAGCCGCAACCGTTGCAGTGGAGTCCATCAGCGAATACAAGCAGAGAAGTTCTAGCGGACGTTTCATCTGATTAGCTCTAGGTCACACCTTAAATAGGCATTCCCACCGATGGCTTCGGACACGAAAGGCCCGAGGCCAAGGATGGAAACGAACCATTGTGTTGGTTCTGCGCAGGAACTCATGGCACAAGTAATTTATCAACTTACACGGGAAATAAACAGCATCGGCAACATCCTATTCAGAGCTGCGGCTACTACGGGGCCGGGCAGACTCCCGCGACGGTGAGTGAACAGCAGGTCATGTCGAACAAGGCAACGTAGTTCTGCGTATGCAAACAGCGCATTGCCCTGAAGCCCCGCAAGCACATGTAAAATCATCAATTGGATTTGATTAGCAATTGTGCCGAACAATTGGCCTCCAATATCTTGCATTCGCAGAAGATCTAGCGGGGACTGTTCTCATGCCCCCTAATATTGAACACTCGCCAGTACACTATCCGCTCTTATCCGCGTCGTGTCTAAAAGATGGGATCTTCTAGCCCATAAGGCGAGTTGGGATGAACAAGAATGACATTGCATGATCCCAAGTATCAGCACGAGCCATGGCCGGATCTGCTGGGCGGAACAATGCGACGATGCTGTGCAGGGACGCGGGCTCAATCTTTAGGGGAGTTTTTCCTCCGCAATGGATCAACGGCCGGTCTCCAAGATATCCGAGCAACATCACAGGCAAATCTTCTTGCATGGATCGCATTAGCCAGGAGGGGCCAGACCAGGGCCAGGCACAGGGGCCAGGGAAGGCAAATGAACTTCCGTCTTACTGGCCGTGCCACCACCGTCAACGGCCAGTCAGTTGGTTGTTGGTTGAAGGAAAGACGCGTCAATATCGGCTGTTCCCGTTGCAACTCTAGAAAGAATGTCGATGGGTCCAATATGAGCCACATGAGCTGATGTCACGGTCTTCATGCCAACCAGGCGCAGCAGCGCTCTTGATTGCATTAACGCCGAATCGTATAAGACAGGTGCAGAATCATGTTCGTTCTCTCTAGCTTTGTTCACGAATCACGCCAGCCTTTAAGTTCCCACTAAGCATATCCGCCATGCAGATCTCACGCACCGCTCTTCTTGGCCTACTAGGTGCCGCCACGTCGGCCCTGGCTTTGGAGATCCCTGAAGGCACAGGCACCGAGATCCTAGCCGACTTGCAGACAGAAGCCATCAAGAACCTGAAGAAGCAGGAAACGTGTGGCTCCCGCAAGCACAATTCCACTTGCACATTGGAGAATGCTACAGTTAGGCGTGACTGGTATGGCTTGCTTCTGTCCCTGCTATATGAATTCATCTTACGAAATACTGACACGTTGAATCAACAGGCGAGCACTGTCCGCCAGTGAGAAGACGGATTACATTGACGCAGTCCTCTGTCTCATGGACAAGCCTTCCAAAGCTGATCCGTCATTTGCTCCCGGTTCACGGAGTCGATATGATGACTTCGTTGCAGTTCACATCAACCAAACCCTGACCATCCACGGAACAGTAAGTGGGCTTTATCTAATCTATGAAGCTGCCCCTGCTAACCATCGTCTACTATGTACAGGGCAATTTCTTGACTTGGCATCGTTATTACGTCTGGGCGTACGAATATGCTCTTCAGAACGAGTGCGGATACAATGGCACCCAGCCTGTAAGTATAAACCTCAACATAGTAACTCAACCAAAGGATCTCTAACGCCTACCGCAGTACTGGAACTGGTTTGACGGGTCCGACTTCAGCAATCATCCCATTTTTGATGGAAGTGATACCAGCATGAGCGGTGATGGCGAATACGTCGCTCATAATGGCAGTCTCGGAGGAAGTAATAACATTTATCTGCCTTCAGGAGAAGGCGGCGGTTGTGTTAAGAGCGGGCCATTTAAAGAGTAAGACTAAACC